CTGATCACGATGTCCCAGAAGTTGATGCTGCTGTGGGAGTGTTCTAGAGAGAACTTGATGGATGGTTGGTGGTTGTTGAAGTTGTGGAAATATATGAGGGAGTTTAGGTCACATGTCCAGAAGATGAAAATACATCAATATATCTCAGGTATATCATTGATTTCACAGTGCATTTGTCCATTAGGAAGAAGAGTGCAGTACTATAAGAGAATGCAGTTCTTCTATGTGGTGGAATCTGTATTAATCACATTGATTTACTCCAGGAAACTCATTTAACCAATACAGGTGAAATGTAAATATTTTAAAAGAAAAGCTCAATCTATATTGGTATGGACTAAACATTTTAAATTTGGGTACTGAAAAGTACTTGAACCAATACTATCTAAGTAATTATCTAAGTAAATAGCTTCATTTTCAGAGGTACAACAGCTCCTGTTGGCTTCTATTACCCTTTCCCTTGAAGAGAGAGGAAATTATATCTACAAATCTTTTCCCGTTCAGATCTTATGAAGCTGAGCTCAAGGCTTACTATTTTGTTTCAGTTTACTCTGGTATCAGCTCATCATTAATGCATCAGCACTTATTATGAAGCAGCTTCTTTTTATGCAGGGTTGAGTAATAATCCTTTGGTGACTAAAGATATGAAGGTTGCTACTCCAGCTGTATATAAGAGAGCCTCTAGTTCAGGGGTCGGCAACGTTCGGCACGCGGCTCGCCAGGGTAAGCACCCTGGCGGGCCGGGCCAGTTTTATTTACCTGCTGACGCGTCAGGTTCGGCCGATCGCGGCCCCCACTGTCCGCGGTTCGCCGTCCCGGGCCAATGGGGGCGGCGAGAAGCCAGGGCCAGCACATCGCTTGCCCGCGCCACGGCAGGTGCTTACCCTGGCGAGCCACGTGCCGAACGTTGCCGACCCCTGCTCTAGTTAGTTTGGACACTATTACCACAGCAATTTATTTTAGTGGTGAGTGAGATTATTAAACCTGTCCAGTACTTGATGAGATCTTTTATGTAAGATTAGAATGCTATCTCCTCCTAGTGGTTCCTAACAAGCTTTTGTGTTCCAGTTCTTTAAAGGACTCTGAGGTACTTTGCAATACATTTCTCTTGACTATTTCCAACCACAAACAGAGAAAAGAACAAATGGACTGGATTGCTATCAAACTTTTATAATAGAGGACAGTTTTAGTCTCAATGTTTTGGTTTGTTTGTTTTTTAATCTGGACACTTTAGCATATTTCCCTTTTTAGTTTATTTTATAGTACCTCCTACAGTTTATGTGCAACTGATGCTATAGGACAGATAATTTGTTCACCTATAACAGATTGTGGTTTTATGTAAGTCTAGATACAAACACACACCTTTGTGGGGAATGAAAATAATGCATGAGCTGTGCAACTCCAGGCTGAGAATTGTTTGACTGGGACATCCCCAACCCAGTAAGAAAATCAGGAGTGAGGAGGAAAGAGTGTAGCCTCCCAATACCCTGCATAGTGGTTACCTATACAATTTTTTTGTACAGTATGAGAGAGTACAGGGAATAGAAGCTTTAACTTCACTTCTGAAATGGTGAATATTATTTTCTCTTCTCCCCACTCCTTTTTAATAGTGAAAATTTCTTGGTGTAATATCACATTATATATTGTTTCATTCAGTATAATACTATTTAGTCAGGGATTTGAGAGACGAATGCTGTGTAGTAGTCCAAAAGAATGGTACTTAAGGCCTATTTTGTATAAAACGGGATCTTTGCCCACAGCTGGGAATGCCTAGAGGTTACTATAGATAATTTTGTTTTGCGCTACTATAACAAAACATGCATGGGAGTGATATTTCTCCCCCCCACACACACTGCTATTTAGACTATCAGCAGAACGATTTGGTCATTGTCCTTTAACAAGAGAGGTGATAGTGGTAGAACTGCAATTGGGAGGGAGCAAGAGCTAGATTTGAGCAAACAGAAAGCATAGTGACAACAGCAGGGCACCTAATCAACACCTTTGTAGAGGAGAAAAAACAAGATCCAGGCCATAAGCAGGAAGAAATGCAGAAGAACAGTAGTATCAAAGAAGGAAAAACAAGATCAGTAAAGTGAAGGAGGGCTAGAGCAAAATAAGAATGAGAAATACAACAGAAGAGGTAACTGTACTCTTACTTCTCTCATTGCTTTGTGTTTTGAACTGCTTACCTGAGACATATTTCTTCTGTATAAAAATATGTAGTGTATTTTATTTACACTCCATGGAGTAAGTTTTCTGAGAGAGTGTTCTGGTACCAGGGTTCATAGGTGTTGTTATATAATATGAGATTACAAGTGGTATTGTGAGATGTATAGATGAATTAGAGCAGGGGTTCTCAAACTGGGGGTCAGGACCCCTCGGGGTCGTGAGGTTATTACATGGGGGGGTTGCAAGCTGTCAACCTCCACCCCAAACCCCGCTTTGCCTCCAGCATTTATAATGGTGTTAAATATATTAAAAAGTGTTTTTAATTTATAAAGGGGGTCACCAGTAAAAACGTTTGAGAGCCACTGAATTAGTGTGTGGAGGCCTGCCTCAGAGTATACCATTGTTGAAGGCCTAAGTGCATCTATTTAAACGGAAAAGACAAAGTGTTTGTTAAGCCTTAGAAAATTAGTCTTTTACGTAGTCTCATATCCACTGTGCTTAGTGAAGATGACTATGCCCATGATCATGAAGAGATTAGTAGGTAACAAAGAAAGGAAAGAAACAAGATGAGTTGATGCTTTTCACATTTTTTTAACGTTGTACATGCTATCTTGAGTTAAAGAAACAGTAATGTGAGCTGAAAGACGTAGCTAACAGATCACAAAATGGTCCATCTAATACATTCAGTTGATTTTCCCAATGATTTTCCAAATACACAGATGTAGCCAAATTACAAAGACCTGCTTCTCCGTTGCAGTATGTGCAGCATGTTTAATTCAGCCACTTCTTCCTCTTGGTCATTTATGATAATGGACTAGCAAGTTGGGGCAAGGCTGTACTTTCTTTTGGTTCCTCCCAGTGAAAATAACCATTTATCTCTTCCTCCTCGAAGCTTGGAGATAGACTCTCCCACTACCCTTCCCTCTGGCACTCCACAGTCACAGACTCTGGAAGAGTACAGTTTTGGAGATAAGGCTATAGCAAGATTACTCATCATTCCTCTCTCTGTAGTCTTGAGTTTTTTTCCAACACTCACTTTACTGGTATCAAATATTTAAAAAGGCAGATCTAAATAGCGTGATGTAGAAGTATCTATTACAGTCAAAGGAGCATTCTGAACAGAGACTGTGCTGAAGTACATTGGTCCACTTTTTAAAGAAAAATTAAGTTTTTTATAAAAATACTGATTTCTGAATAGATTTAAATTGCCAGCGTCATTTAAAAAAATGGATTTAATGCTTTCATCGTGCTTGGGTATTGGACATGAAATACTACTAAATTTCTATTGCTTAATCAAAGGCAAATGTTTATGTGCGGGTTTCGTTTTAGGAATGAGTGATGTCAACAAGTTATTAGCAAAACACAAGAGGAAATTTTATTTCTAATGGTGATTTGCAATGTTAGGGTGTTCAGATAATTAATGTTGTGTAGTGTTTTGCTTTTTAACTAACATGCTATTACAATTGAATAAATATGCTACTCATTTATTGGTGTATCCACTATTCAGTCAGATACCACTTCTGGCTTCTGAACTGAATACAACAGCTGGACATTGAGGACAGCCATAGCAACGCTGCAGGATGCTGAAAGGTTTGTGGCTAGAACTAAACTGCACAACTGGGACCTGTTAAATATTAAAGAAAAACTATCATATGAATAAGTTTAAATACAATGGGTAAAGTTTTAAAAAACAGGTTGACTACTACTGAAACTTAGGCTCCTAAGTGCCAAAGTCACTTTTGAAAAAGCTTATCCAAGCGCAGTTTACTTTGCCATTCAAGCAATTAAGGAAAGAATATATCTGAGCTATCCTCAGTTGTTTGTATGGAGACATGATGCATTGCTGATATGCTTACTAATGTCAAACAGAATGCTACACTGAAGTGACAGGAGGTAAAGCTTACTGAGCAGCCCTTGCACATTAATCTTCTTTTCTCATAAAAGGACATTTTAAAAAGCTGCCATACTAATCCTGCCTTAAAATGTTACATAAATGACTGATCCTAAGGTGGAAAATGATGAGTTTAAAGTAGCAATCTAGTTAAAACCCTTATTTTCAAAGTGAAGCTGTTGCCTATGTATAACTGCACTACTTTTCTGGTGAGAAAAAAAAAAATTCCCATAGATGTTTATCAGTTTTTAAAATTATTTTTTGCTCAACCTTACTTCTATATCATTCTTTAATTCCTGTATTTAGGGATATTATGGATCTATTTACATAGCAGCATGCATGACCTGGTGGTTTAATAAAGTTTGATAAATTTTAAGGCTACTAAGCCATTTTAGACTGTTTGCTGATGTGTACCATATACCAAGTTATCCTCTGTGGCTACAGAGTATTTCATGAAAGTTTATGCTTTGTGTTTATTCATTAATTAAAGATCCTTTCCCCTACTGTAATTGTCTTCTCTTGTCCACACATGGAGTTAGAAAGTTTCCCAATTAATAATTCAATAGCTTTTTAATTAGAGCAGCAGTTATTAACACTGGTTACATGTAATATTCACAATACAGATTAGAGAGAGAGAGATTTCCACTAGTTTATACAGAAGTGCCTTGAAATAACTAAAGGATAATGGCAATAGAAACTGTTTCTGGGTCCATAATCATTAGAATGAGTGGATGTTAAAAGTCACAGACCAGGTTTTACTTTTAGGGCTTGTCTACCCTGGCACTTTACAGTGCTGCAACTTTCTCGCTCGGGTGTGAAAAAACACACCCCAGAGCGCAGCAAGTCTCAGTGCCATAAAGCACCAGTGTAGACAGTGCACCAGTGCTGGGAGCTATGACCCTCGTGGAGGTGGGTTTTTTAGAGCACTCTCCCAGCGCTCTGCCGCTACAACACAAGCCGCGTTAAAGTGCTGCCGCAGCAGCGCTTTAATGTTGCCAGTGTAGACTAGCCCTTAGATCCACTGATGAGCACAGCTTGTGTATTCAACCAATTCCTCAGGAGTGAACCACAGGTTGATCTCTGTCTCAGCACTTTCTACAGAATCACTGCCATGAATGATGTTCCTAAGAGAAGAAAAGTCATTAATAATTATAGAATTAAAAGCACAATATTTGCTTTTTAGAAAAACCTCTCTGGTTACTATGGCTACAAGTATTAATAAAACGTACGTGTAAATATGCAACACAAGCTTCTTCTCTCATCAGTTTTGATAGGGAATGAGAAGGAAAGCCATATCTCTATTTACATCCTTTGACTCCAGTCCTACATTATCTAGTGGACCATGCATGTGGATGAAGTTAATGGGGGTCTTTCCATGTATAATAGTTTGTAGAATCAGGGTCTTAATGTCCTTACAGGTTTTTCAGCAGTTAGCAAGCTTTTGGTACCAATTGTTATTTCCTAACATTCATTCTAATTTAACATTTAAATTAAGTACATGTTACAAAATGGCATATTCTTGTTTACCAGGACAATCTTATAGAAAGGGACCAGGAGGCAAGTAGTCATGCAGAGAGCTTATTAGTTCTCATAAAATAAATACTATTGTGTCACTACTCAAATAGGAGACCTCCAAGAAAAAATGGAGGTTCCGTAGAAAGTATTTCAGGCCTTGTCTATATGTCCTTACTATAAGGTTGATCAAATTCCAATATTTACATTCTGCTGCTTGAATTCTTCGACAGTTTCAACTGGATATAGTGTTCACATTACAAAACTTTGTCATAAATCAATTAACTAAGTAGGTCAGTATGTATATGATTTAAAACTGGTTTAGTTTTGATAAGACAGTTTCAGAACGTACCTGCCAACTTGAACACAGAAGTCACCACGGATGGTGCCAGGTTTGGAATCTGCTGGATTAGTTTCCCCCAGCATTACTCTGCCAGTCTTAACCACATTAAGACCTTCCCACATCTTAAAAATAAAAACCATTAAGATTAGAGAATCCAAACTGTAACTAACACAGGAAGAATTGGCAATGTTATCCAAACTTGATCCCATCATCGTACGGGTGTTAAGTCCCCTTTTTCAAAGAATCTATGGGCAAGGCATAGAAGGATTGGAGTAAAACTGTCTCCGACAAACTGTGGTCATGCCACTGACTTCTAGCCAAAGCGAGAGGGTACTGAACAGATTTCAGTGTAACAAACAAACAAGAAGCCCATTACAAAATTTCCTAAACACATAAAGCTTCATAGAGATCTCAAATACTTTAGAGGTATACACTCTTTACCCCCCAAAAAAAAAGTCACACTTGTAGCAATCATAGGTTACAATCAACATCTAACACATACGAGTTCTCTACTTGAAAGATTAAATGTTTCACTGTTCTTTTTTCCAGTTTGCTTATTTTGTGTATTTGACAGCACTTTGTGCAGTCAATTTCCCACTGTTCATCCCCTACCCCCCCGCACATTGCAAAAGGGAAAATAAAGTTTTTTTTTAAAAAATAGAAAGATTTACTTGTAAAACCACACATTAAAGGGAAACATGTTGTACCTGTAACTACATTTAATCAATTTTTTAAAAGTATTTAATTTCAAGTTCTTAGTGTCATTTTCAATATGTAACACAAATAAAGTTATGAACAAAAGACACATGAACTGCTTAATTTTTCTTAAGTTTTATTTTTAAAAGCTTACCATAGCTACAACAGGTCCAGAGTGCATATATTTAATCAAACCAGCATAGAATGGCCGATCTTTCAAATCAATGTAGTGTTCTTTCAGAAGGTCTTCAGAGGCCTGCACACAAAAAAAGCAGTTTACTGTAAGAACTTAAGAGCATCTTTAAATCACAAGAGATTAACCACAGAGCACTATTAATCCTTAAACAGACATGCTCTTTAAAAATAAGTGATTCCAGCAACTGGCTAGATGTGTTGCTTGGTTTATATGAATTTAAAATATAAAATTATTTCAGTGCACAGTTTAACTCAGCAAGGTTGTTTCATCAATATCTAACTACTTTTGAGAAGAAACCAATTTTTGCTGTAGATGATCCATAGATGCCTATTAAGTGTAAATGGCACCTATAAGAATATTCCCTTCAGACTAAGGACATCAGTTTACTAAAATTAGGTTGCTTAGGCTGTCAAAAGCATTTAGCTACAGCTGGATGCTGGAAAGTCTCCAAAAATACCCAGACACAAAATTTGACATTTGATATTTCTGCTAAGATTTCATTTTAAAAAATTACAATAGATTTTTCACTGAGTGGAGTACACTAGCCTGCTATAAGATTTCATTTCATACATAAAGGAGAAATATAGAAATGAGGGAAACTCACGTGCATGAATTTCATGGCCACTAGTTTGAAACCCTTCTGTTCAAATCTCTTGATGATTTCTCCCACTAGTCCCCGCTGGACTCCATCAGGCTTGATGGCAATGAAAGTGCGCTCGGAAATGGATGCCATCGTCCTACAAGAGGAGAAAAAGGGACTCCGTATTCCAGGACCAGCAGGCAAATGCAGCCACAACAGAAATCTAGAAGGCATACCCACAATCGTCCACAACCTTTTTGTGCTTATGTGTACTGATCTAATAAGTCAAAGAATATCCAAAAAGTGCTACAAAAATAAATGTAACGTAATAGCCCTATAAACATTGAAGAGAGCAATTAGTCCATACCAGGAATGAAGAGATTTTATACAGCTTGTATTGCAGGTCAGTGTATTCCAAGATGCACACTGATAGGATACTACCCTCAATTTAAGACAAAACTGGCTAAACTAAGACCGTGTGTATCACTTTGATCTATAGTTATCTACAGCCAGTCAGTGTTGTAATGAAGTAGGCTAAGAATGTGTGTGGGGACTGGAAGGTAAGAAAGTCATACTGGAGTAGCCAATGTGTCATTTTTAGAGGCACAAGCTGACTCCTACAGTAGCTACACAGTCACTGTGGTTTACAATCGTCAACATTTTAAAAACCAAAATTAAGCATTTTTCAGAAATTAAAAACTAATCTCTAAGATTATAAAGCAGTTAAAAGTATGGTGCTAACCCAATCCCCATTTCTAGAAGTATAGCATAGACTGAACAATTTGAGACACAACAAGCTCGTTATTCCAGAGCAGTTGTGAACAAGCTAAGGGCGCTGAAATAATAATAGTAATAAAAAAGCAATGCAACACCCAATACTAATGCTCCCGCTGCCAGTAGCCCTGGACAGATGGCAGCTCACAGACAAACATGCAGAAATCTAATTACAGCGCCTTTCCCCTTATATTGACCCTGCTTGCATGTCCGTTGGATCATTCATAACTGCATATGCCCTCGCCCCCTACAGCCCCTTCAATGCTCCCCTGCCCCTTAAATCATCCCTAGCAGCGCCCACCCCCCTGCGCTCCCCTCTCACCTGCTCGCCTGCCGTCCCGGACCCTGGGGCGGGTCGGGTGGGAGCTGCCGTAGCGCCGCCGCCGCCCCCAGCCTCGCTACCACCCAGCTCTAAACACGCCCCCACGTGCCCAGCGCATACCGGGCCGGAACCGGCCGGGCAGCCGCAAGGGGCCCGTGTTCCTCCCCGCTCCCACGGGGACGCTTGTCTCGGGGCGCGGATACGCCATCGGGGAGGACTGAGGCGACGCTCTAGCCCGACGCTGGGGGACGCAAGATTAAGGAGGGAGCAGAGCCACTCTAGTACCATCGAGTCCTAACTGCGCCGGGAAGTGGGCGACGCTCTTGCTGCGCATCTCCATCTCTATGGCAGGGAGGGGGAAGGGAGGCTGGAGGCTCTGCCCGCCTCTCCCGGCGCGCGGCCAGGGGCTGCGCTGGGCGCTTTCCCAGCAGGGGCCGCGGGGCTGCCCCAGGGATTCCCAGCAGGGGAGACACGGGCCGAGAGTGTCAGCGCGTACGGACCCCTGGGTACGGTTTTAAAGGAGACGTCGCCCATGCTAACCAAGCACAGTGGGTGCAAAGCAGGTGCAGGCACCACCCTAGGGTGCTCAGATGTCCCGATTTTATAGGGGCAGCCCATATGGGGCTTTTTCTTACATAGGTACCTGTTGCCCCACTACCCCCGTCCTGATTTTTCACACTTTCTATCTGGTTTCAGAGTAGCCGCCGTGTTAGTCTGTATCCGCAAAAAGAACAGGAGTACTTGTGGCACCTTAGAGACTAACAAATTTATGAGAGCATAAGCTTTCGTGGGCTACAGCCCACTTCTTCGGATGCATATAGAGTGAAACATATATTGAGGAGATATATATACACACACACAGAGAGCATGAACAGGTGGGAGTTGTCTTACCAACTCTGAGAGGCCAATTAAGTAAGAGAAAAAAACTTTTGAAGTGATAATCAAGATAGCTCAGTACAGACAGTTTGATAAGAAGTGTGAGAGTACTTACAAGGGGAGATAGATTCAATGTTTGTAATGGCTCAGCCATTCCCAGTCCTTATTCAATCCTGAGTTGATTGTGTCTAGTTTGCATATCAATTCCAGCTCAGCAGTCTCTCCTTGGAGTCTGTTTTTGAAGTTTTTCTGTTGTAAGATAGCCACCCGCAGGTCTGTCATTGAATGGCCAGACAGGTTAAAGTGTTCTCCCACTGGTTTTTGAGTATTATGATTCCTGATGTCAGATTTCTATCTGGTCACCCTACGCCGCCCTGTGCTCCGCCAGTCAAACGCATGCAGTTGTGTCTACATGGGGAAGTGTTACAGATTATAGATATACTCTTTTCTGGACTTTTTCCAATTTGTCCACAATACTCCAGTTGAGGCCTAATCACACGCCTGCTAATACATCCGGAATGATGCTTGCTTTTTTTACAGCAGTGTTACACTGTTGACTTATTTAGCTTGTGACCCCCAGATCCCTTTCTGCAGTACTCCTTGCTAGGCAGTCATTTCCGATTTTGTATGTGTGCAACTCATTGTTCCTTCCTAAGTGGAGTACTTTGCATTTGTTCTCAATTGAATTTCATTCTGTTTATTTTAGACCATTTCTCCAGTTTGTCCAGATAATTTTGAATTTTAATCCTATCCTCCAAAGCACTTGTACGCCCTCCCATCTTGGTATTGTCTGCAGATTAAGTGTACTCTCTATGCCATTATCTAAATTATCAACAAAGATATTGAACAGAAGTGGACCCAGAATTGATCCCTTCTAGCTTGACTGTGAACCACTGAAAACTACTCTCTGGAAATGGTGAAATAAAGTGGTACGGTTCTTCCCTTCTATCCCTTCATGTTTCGGCCTTTCTCACTTGTATATTTATCCCTCATTTCTCTTCATTCTTTTATATTCTCCTTTTGTAACCTCCCTTCCCAATTGCATAGTATTAGCCTCCTGGCCTCGTCCTGTTCTGATCCTTTCACTATCCTTTCTTAGAACCCTTTTATTTATACCTTGGCCTTTTACCTTTAATCCACTAATTGGATTTTTATTTCTAGTACCTTTTTATTTTTCTGTGGATGCCCTTGATCCTTTTTTTATCAGACCTTTAACTCCCATCTCATTTCCTGATATATGCTTTCTTCTTTCCTTTTACATAAAATGTAAGTCCAATGAAGTATTTTTATACCCACAACCTCTGATTTTCCACAATTTATTTGCAGTGGGGATGTCAGGAAAATTCCCCTCTCGAATGTATCTATTCCTTGTTTTCAACCCTTCAATAACTCCCCTGACAGGTAATGTATTTTTCCTCTCCTCTACACAAAAAAAACCTATTTTAAGTACCTCTGTTTTGATAGTTGTATCCAAGTGGTAAGTACTTCAGCCCCACAAGCCACTGAGTTTGTCAATCAGACTTGCACAAAAACAGAATTTTTGCCTTACAAAGACAGATTAAATCCTACAGGTCATTTTAAAGCCAAGGCAAGTCCGGTTATAAAAGGCTCTTACTAGTAGGGTGACCAAATAGAAAGTGTGAAAAATCGGGACGGGGTGAGGGGTAATAGGTGCCTATATAAGAAAAATTCCTAAATATCGGGACTGTCCCTATAAAATTGGGACATCTGGTCATCCTACTTACTGGTATTCTCACAAGATGAAATATGTTTGCAGGCAAGCAATGCTTAAAGAATTTCCAACTCTATCCTTGCAACTAGTTGTCCATTAATCAACATAAGTGAGGGGCAAGCACATCAGCACAAACAGGAAATGGCTTCTAGAAGGCAAGTTTTATTCTTTTAACTTCTTGGGGCAGAGACTATCCCTCATGAAGTGCATGGAAAGTAACTAGCACATTGTGGATTCTACTACAAACAATCTATACCCATGTTGACACTATAAGTTCCTCTGAGTATATTTTTAAAGTATATGTATATAATTTAGCTATATTATAATATATATATATATATACCTAGCTCGCGCAGCTTCAAGGTTTTATAAGGTCTTATAAGAATTTTACAAGTAATTGTAATTGTTCCATACATCTCTCTGTTAAACATTGATTCAAGTCTTGTTTTTAGCCTATGTTTAACCTTTGTTTTTAAATTAATATTCTCCTTGCTGCTGAATCTCATCAGTCATAGCAACGGGTCAGAATTTCTGCACATACCACAGAAGTTGTAGGATAGAGAAAGATAGAGATGGAAATGTTCCCTAGACATAGTGATTTTTATTAAATCAGTAGATACAGAAAGTTATATAGAAGCCAATTGTCCAAAGTCTTACTGGTTTAATTCTTCCCCTTACATGAATCAATATGCCTTTTTATATACGAAAATGCTATCTGCAGATCTCCAACAGCTGTTTGAGCTAACACGTTCTTTCCTGCGATTGTTTTTTGCCCCCAGCACTAACTGAGCAATAGAAAAGACTATAATATACAAGTTCCCAGGGTTCTCCCATTCCCAAAATGCTCTGCTAAAGGGAAGTTAATGGGCAGGCGCTCCCTTTGCTTCTTTTAGTGGGAAAAGTCTGTTCCCCATCGTGTTCTGAGTCTATTTCTGAGACTGAGACAAACTTTCTAAGATCTACTTCCTGGCTTTTCTTGATAGAAAAGTTGGGTAGATTTTACTTCCTTTTCTCAAGACCTTAGCAACAATCTGGGATAAAGCTATCATCTTCAAGGACGTGGACTTTTGCTCCCTATTTCTTCTTTTTCCCTATGGCAGTTTACTCTGTCCGAAATCCACATCTATCTTTATTTCTGGTTACAATGGGCCAAACATAAGCCTGGTGTAAATAGATGCATCTCATGGGTGGTCCTGTATACACATATGTTTATTAGTATTCAGTTCTCTTTTCTTCTGGTTTCACCATGGCTGTGATCTGCTAAATTTTCCTTTTTTTTTTTTTTAATTTATTGAAAGATACTACAAAATACAAAGTCCTGCTTGTTCCAGCATATTTATCTTAAAGGTTATTTTAAAAGCTGAATATTTTCCTCATATCTCATTTTGTTATAGTCTATATTATTTCAGTACAACTTTATTTAAGATATTCATATTATTGATATAGAGCCTGATCCTGCAATCCTTCCTCAGGAAAAACAACAGTTAAAGTCAGAGTAAGTATCTGCAGGAATGGGTGCCTAAAGAGGTATGCTATCAGTATGTTATTTACATCATTAAGTAGAATTTTAAAAAAAGAAAGCATGATTTAATGATTAACGCACAGAACCTGCCATGAGAACTGGGTTCTATTTCTAGTTTTACCACAGACTTGCTGTGTGATCTTTGCCAAATCATTTAAACTCATTAAACCAGGGTTCTCTTTGCCACTCCCGAGACTAATCCATGATTAGCACAGAATGTTGAGCAATATATAGTACACAACATGCTATAAAAGTGTACTGTATTTATAATTATAATGTACTGTACCAGCACATTTTTTTCCTGATTAAAATTTTTCATTGTATTTTAGGTAAGTATACAATTATATAATGAATCCAAATAAGAGAGATTGTAGCTTTCTGGAACGAGCTGATAGTGGGAAGAAAGGAAGAAGTGAAGGTGAGGAGGAATGGTCACATCGCAGGATAGTCAGTGAATGAACAGCACATAAAGTGAAAGTGTGACACAGGTCTACACGATATAACAATGGAGTGTGGATCAAATTGTTTAAAGTCTCTTGTATGCCACCTAGAAATGGCTGACATTTTATGAGACAGGCCTGACCCAAAGCCCTGGAAGTGAACACCTCCCCTCAATTTTTAGGAGAGTTCAGGTCTGGATCCTAAGTTAGTGACTCTGGCCCCTACTTTATAGTGGTCTGAGTTAAAAACCTACTCTGTACAACTCTAAATATTGGGAAAGTTCCAGTTTGGGTACACACCTTGTAGCTTGGATCTACTTGTCATAACTAGACTGACATCTATGCAACCCTGCTGATCTGATGTATCTAAATACACAATGCAACACACAAGTCTGAAGTACAGTAATTGTTCAGGACCAGGCCAAATGAAAATACAGTATGAGCCTCTGCTGCTCTCCAGTGGAAATTAATGGAATAGCTATTAGTTAGATCTTCACTACCTGATTAGCTCTTGTATTTTTTGAAATAGTATTTGCTAATTTGATAGACTTTGTAACCTTAGCGATATAAACATTAATATTAGTTCAGGCGATACAGTTCATTATAGCATTAAAACTCAGAGAAAGCCAGTAGCTCATAGCAATCTGCAGAA